GAAGGTAATTTATGATTAAAAAAAATCTAAACGATACATATTTATGTCATGTGCATGTTCATGTGAGGAAAAAGAAGTACTGGAATGTGATGTGCATGTTCATATAACATAATGAAATCCAAATACAACCAAGAAGTCAAGTGTTCTATTCTCTTATACTGTGCGAGAAAGAGGAAGATTTATGTGAAACTCCTTCTACAACATATGCAAAATACCAAGTCACGGAAAGGTTTCTTGTTTGCATTTTGTTCATTTTTTTACTAAAAATTGCTCATTCTGCTGTTTCCTTAGCAATTGTTTTCTATTTAAAGCTTTACCTACACATTAGTCTGTTACTTTGGAGTTTTGGCTTATTGTGGAAACTCACTTCCCCCAAATCATATAATGCAAAATGAGACGAGCTGTCTTGTTTTTCTGATTTGGTGCACTGAAATGATATTTCACATAATAATATTATATTGAAATACTGCTTTTGAATCCTCTCTAATACAAGCTTAAAATACACATAGGCTTGTAAGTAAAGGTTGCAAGTTAGTTGGATGTGGCTCTGCACTACCATATCTTCAGATCTCTAATGGTGATCTTACAAAAATTACTGATACTTCTGGTGAATGGATCTCTGTTCGGACAAGAATTCGTAACAGAAGAGTTCTTTCTGGTGAATTTCTATGTGCTGTTGATGCTAGTTATTAATAAGGTGCTATAGAGTTTAGGGTACTCCAAACTTGATACAGGGGAAATACTGAGGAATTTAGGTAATTAAAACTGGTTCTTGTCAATGACTTAATAGAAGACTTAACCTCACTAGGAGTTGTATTGTACATACATGTTGCAGGTTGGTGTTAATTTGGAGTTAAGTAATTGTAAAATTCTTTTTCTTATAGCCTACAATCTGTATTTGTGCAACTAATTATGAATGGAACAAGAGCTAAAGCCACTCAAAAACCGTTCAAACGATTCCACCTCCAACACCACCTCCACCTCCACCTCCAGCACCGTTCAATTCCAGGAATCGTTCAAACAATTCCACATCCACCTCCATCTCCACCTCCAGCACCACCTCCACCTCCACCTCCACCTCCATCTCTGCCTCCAGCACCACCTCCACCTCCACCTCCACCACCGCTCTACCTCCACCTCCACCACCAGCGACCGCCCCAACTATTGTCCAACCCGCCTCAATTTTCGCATCATTCAAATAAACACACAGACGGCTAATCGGACCCAACACCTCAAAAATTGAATAGCAACAAATAACTAAAGCTTATCA